TACTTCTCAACCTAGCTCTTCCTCCATATACTTGTTTTCAGTCATTCCTCACTCTTATCTCTATATGACCATACTTATTTTGATCTGATCTCTCACTTTTTATTCAATTCATATTTAGTTCTCATTCACTCATCCCTGTTTCTTCATGTTTTGCCACTTAAATAACCCATTTCCACTACAGTAGTATTCAACTGCTTTGAAACTCGTCAAATTTGATACTCAATGCATTTTGAGGTGAAAATTTTGTCCTGGTACTCATTGTTTGTTTGGTACTCAATGCACAAGCTAGAACTTGTCAGTGTTGGCTGCCTTGTGACTCACTACATTATTCCTTATGGGAAAAATTTGTTTGGTACTCATTGCGCTTTCCAGAACCAATTAACAATGAATACCAAGGTACTACTGTACAACTTTTCTGTTTCTCCTCTCATATACAACTCTCGTTTTCATAGAGCAAAGTTGGCCAAAACATGCTTTTACACAATCATTTTTGCTTCTTTTGACAAACATTCATCACTTGGAACAGATTGTATATTACCAACTACTCTTCTATGCTCATCTTTCTCCAATCATTGTCCCTATCTTTAGAAACCATTCTATTAAGGTATGCAAATTCACCTACTTGGTCTAGTTTTTACCAGGTATATATAATTTCTAATTGTCCATTTCATTTTTTCTGTCAAATATATTTACCTTGGTTTTTGATTCTTTAATTTTCAAATCTATATTCCCCTTTACATTTTACATTGTATCTAATAGTTTCTGAAAATCATTTAGGTTTCAACATCATCTACATAGAAAAGTACATATGCATTCATATCCCCAACCAGCACATCTAAAATTCATTATAAGCATTCCTTATACATTTATTCATAAATATGTTGAACAACCAAGGGAGCATTACAGATCTTTGTCTTACTGTCTGATCAATGCAATTTCTTAAGCATTCCATTAATTCTCACACGTTTTATTTCTCTCATATACTTTCATCTCATTCTGCAAGCACTTTCAATTCCACGTCCCATAATTCAGGTAATATTAATTTGATAATACTCTTTCTCTGAATCAACAAATATAGAATAAAATTTCTGTCTCCCATTGAAACATTTCTCATTGACCAAAGTCTACATACACTGCGTGCCCTCTGTCCCCAATAAAACCATGCTGTTATTCCCATATTTTTCATTGCTCTCCAATGCTTCTATTCATTCTGGTTACTAACCTTGAATGAAGTCAATTGCACTGCTATTATTACACCATCATCATGATCATATATCCTTTGTTCTTCAATATAGGATTTATACAGAGAACAGACTGGCTATTTCTGTCTGTCTGGAGTGCATTGCAATTTGGTCCAAACCTGCTATTCTATTTACAGAGGAAGTCAGGATCAGCAGACGCTCCCTACCAGAAGTGAGGAAGTGACCTTAAAAGATTCCAGCTTTTTAGTCAAAGCTCAATGCTAGTGCCCAGTTAACCATGGATAGTTTCTGAAGCTCCACAAAAAGGAGCTTCTAAAAAAAATCTGGTAGAGATATAGAAGAGAGTTGGGGTGGGATGAGATTCCTTTCAAACCTCTTACAGAAACTTCTTACATTGTGGAATAAAGCTGCAAACCATCCTTGAAATCATAGAGTTCATTTCCCAGAGTGCAAAGGGTTTGGGGAGAAGCTCTAAAAGAGTTGTGAAAAGTGTTTTCAAGAGAAAGAAGGAAAAAAGACGCTGTTGTAACTCTATAAAAAAAGAAATCAGTGCTTTAAAAAATAGTGAGCATTTCATTCTTTGACTACGAAGGATGGAACAAAGAATTACTTTTTTCTTTTATTCTTAAGCAGAGAAAACCTCCAGCGTTGAGTTGTAGATGGAGAGGATAAATGCCTCATGTAGGGCTCAGAAAGATGTTCCACAGAAACCTTCATCTTCTCTAGCAGCATTGTTCTACTTGCCACCATGGTCCTTCAAGTCCTATAACTCTCTAGTCTCTAGACAAATAGTTTTGGGGGGAATAAAGTTTAGGACTTTATACAATTAATCAGTGGAACAACCTGCCTCCAGAAGCTGTGAATGCTCCAACACTGGAAGTTTTTAAGAAGAGACTGGACAGTCATTTGTCTGAAATGGTATAGGGTTTCCTGCCTGAGCAGGGGGTTAGACTAGATGACCTCCAAGGTCCCTTCCAACTTTACGATTACGATTATGATTATGATTATGATTATTATAATATCTGGGCTGCAAAACTCCATATGATCACTAGATGGTAGCAAAGGTATTCAGGGAAGTAATTCTTTGCTGCCAGCTATTGACCATATGGATTTTTGCACCCCAGATATTATAGACTTAATAAAGGGAGACCTCTCTGCTTTTTTTTTTTGTTTAGCAAAGCCTACTAAAGTTTATCTAATCCAACTTATTTAGTATTTCAATGAGATTTTTCCCTTTCAAGGAATTTGCTTTCAATATTACAATTAACCATATTTGAAAATCACTGTACTTTGGAAAATTAAATTGGCTGGGATCATACAATGTATTATGTTAATAACCTGATTTATACAAAATACTAAACTAAAACCAAAGATATAACATTAGATAAAGCAACAGAAGAAGCAATTCAGATTTGTAGAAAATGAAGGAAATGTTCCTGCCAGCTCTTTATGCTTTCTTCAGAGTTCTTAGGATGGTCTGTAGGAAATATAGACTAACAAAGATTTGACCGGTCTCAAAATTGAATTTTATAAAAGGAAATAACAGCTATGGCGTATTGGTCCCTTAATGTAGATTGAACAGAAATATTAAACCAGACAAACTTGCAGGTATAAGAAAAGAGGTGTCTCTTCCTTATCTAATTACGTTTAATGAGGAATGTTTATGAATGTTGCAATAAATGCTTGTTCACCAAATGATGCTGTGATCTGCTCTTCTTTGTCTATACTATAAACTATACTTAGCTGGTGGGGAAAATATCATGATCACTGCTATATCTTATATCTGCTACTCCTGTGTTACAGCTGGAGTAAACAAACTGAACCAAGCTGACCCTGCATTATTTCAAATTTGCATATTTTGCCCAATTAAGTAAAATTATGTACTGATGGAGACTAGAGTGTAATGAAAGTGTAAGCTATGAATCAAAAAAGTTGTGGTTCCAATTCAAGATATGAATTTACTCAATACCATTCGGGAGATAGCTCCCATCTAATACACTGGTATAGTATATGAAATAACACTCTGCGAAGTTTCTTGTTATGGAGTGCAATGCTGAAGAAATGCTAAGCCTGAGTATAGAATTCAAAGGGATTGCACTGACATAAAGTAACCTTCAATAGTAGTTGGGCTAAGAACTTATTCACACAGGGACTAAGATTGGTCAATTCTTGATGACTGATTACCTACTTAGACTGAAAGTCCTTAGAATAATCATTACTGCCAGTAGCAGTTAATTCTTATTCATGATAAAACTCACTGTGGTCATTAATGGATGAAGATACAGTTGTGAATAGATTTTCACCTGAAGTACTTCTACCACAGAACTGGTGGAACCCCATTAAGAAAATCTAAATACATTTACATTGCATTACATTACATTGTTGTTCTCACTACAGGGCTAATGCCATAGATAAGTATCACTGCTTTCAAATCTATAGGAATTTACTGGATTACCAGAAAAGAAAATTGGAGAGACACTTCTTTTACTTGTATTATTATAATAAGAATATTCTATTTCACTCATTCACACATGTTAATGTATTGAGACTGAAACCAAAAGTTTTCTGCTCCGTGATCATAATAAAAGCTTTTGATTTTTTTGAAACTTACTATTAGAATTAATTGATGAGTCAACTGTTTCTTCCGTGGTCAATTAAACATTGTAAGTTAAAGAATACTGGGCATGGCTAAAGGCATGTGAATATTTTAAATAACTTTTAGTAAATAAAAGCTACTACTGATTGCTTCAAAGAAAGCTAATTGTTCATAATTTTAAAAGTCCAGGTTGTTTTGGCATAATAGTCAAAACAGATTTAAAATGGAGAAATATTGCTTGTATGCAGAGAATCATTGGTTAAAGTTGGTTCTTGTTCTTTAAAATTGGTTCACACAGTTTAATCAAAGTTCAGTTGATCAAACTACAAATTAATCTCATTAAAGATTACATCCCAGTGCACACTGATCTAGTTTTATAAAAGGCTTAATGAGAATTTGGTGTGTAACAGGTAGACCCTGGAAAAGTCTTTTAAAGATGGCTTCAGGTAGGACATGCTGAATGAAGCTAACGCTGATTAACTTGTGTTGAACAATTCACAGATCTGATTCAATCAAATCACACACACAAAAAAATAAATTTCATTGTCTAGCCTCTACTCCCTCTACTACTTTATATATTACAATTTTTGTATTACTCTGAATTTTGGAAAATAAAAAAATAAACAGTACAATGCTTACATGAACCCCTCCCCCAATTAAACTGATAATGCAAGAAGAAATTGAGATACTGCCCAGTTCTCATATTAAAACAATTATGAAACAGGTGTTTAACCATGTTGTAATTTCATGAAGTATTGACATAAATTAATATTGCGATTTGAAAAGTCCAAAGCCCCCAACATTGTCATTTTTGGACGGTACTAGAGTCTCATCTTTCTTCCATCCTACTCTTGTTTGAAATTGTAGTAGTCATGGATGTCACAATAGAATAAAACAATATTCTCAAAACGGAGAGAGTAACATAATAACTCAAAAGATTTATTCTTGTTCAAGCACTCTGCTTTCTGGATACATTGAGTCATAATTTTCCAACGAATTATTTTGTCTACACACACACTTTTTTTTTGTCTGTTTGTTTTTAAGAAAATTGATTAAAATTAACTTACTCCCCTCCCGCCCCCCAAAAAAGTCCTGGGAAGACTTTTGTACTGGGAATTAAATATCAAAGAGAGCAATAAAGACTAGAACATGCAGCTCCATATAACTGTTTCCAGACTATAATAATGTAATATTTTTTTTACCTTCCTCTCTTTTGCGTTTGTTGCTTTCAGCACTGGGAGACGTAATTCCCAGAATTCCACTAATAGAGTAGGAGGAGCCTGCTGAGTCTGTGCTTACCGAAGACACCTGCGTCACAGAGCCTGTGGAGGCTGTAATTAGAAACAAATTAATCAATAAGCAAGTCACCATAAAAAGTAAGCATGCTTCAACATCCTACAATCATCTGTTCAATGAAATTTGAGGAGGGGAGGAGGAGAGAGGGAGGGAGGGAGGGAGATAGAGAGGAGGGAGAGGGAGAGGGAGAGGGAGAGGGAGAGAGAGAGAGAGAGAGAGAGAGAGAGAGAGAGAGAGAGAGAGAGAGAGAGAGAGAGAGAGGGAGGGAGGGAGGGAGGGAGGGAGGGAGAGAGAGAGAGAGACTGTTTACGGTCACTCAAATGTCAGTTTCCTGTCCAGTCTCTGTTACCAGTTCTAGATAGTGTGACAAAAAAACTAAATAAATGGGTACGCGCTTTTATGGGCACTGCAAAAATAATTCATTTTATCAGCGGCTGAAAAATCTGGAATTTTGCTCCTGGACGATGTCAAATAGAGAAAGAAAGCCTTGGAATAAATGGTGGAAAACTTAGGTTTAGTATTTTGGACCATTTATGATGTAGTACTTAGTTTGTAAAGGTTCAAAATACTTCCTAGGCATCATAACATATATCATACCATACAACCACCTTCTAACTTAGACTGGTGTTAAATTGTAGTGGGAAATTGTTTCCTAAAAGCAGACCATGAGGTTATGGCTAAGTCAAATTATGAATCCAAGTTATAGATTTTCAGCTCGCTTTTAACTTATGCCCTCCTCTAGCTCACAAAAAAATGATAATTGTAATTTTTTTTCCCCAGGAGAGAATATACAAGGCCATTTGCTTGCAATAAATTAGTCTGAAAAAGAATGCAGTTAGAGCTTGGGGCCACATAATAACACACAATAATAAAGGATTTAAACTTAATTTTCAATCTAGATGTTGACTAAGGTAGACCAAAGGAAACTACTTCTAGGATACTTGCAGTCTAATGAGAAAGAGGGTTGTAGTAACAATTGTTGCTGCCTTTGCATTTTTTTGTTTAGAATAAAAGAAAACGACGCTCTGGGTGTTGTGTATAACAGAATCTCTTGGTCTGCAAACGGCATTTCTAACAAATGCAAAACATATATAAATAACTAACATTATTTTGCCCTTCAATAATATCCAAAATCTTCCCTGCTGGAGTAGACAACTCAGTCTGCCAAATGATACAACTGGCTTGGTTCACTACTGAGATAATTTGATTTGGTTGGAAATCTTGGAGCAAAATACACACTGAAATTGGAATTAAGTATGCAGAGTGCATATCAGTGCCATCCATTGTAGGTTTTATGGCTAATAAAGATCCAGTTTAATTTATTTAAGAGGTTATATGTATTCTATGTAATTAGACTTCACAAATTCAAAAGTCAAACACAATACAAAAATCAGGAACCTTGGATAAGTGATTTTTCTGTCTGCTCCATTCCCCTCTCAGCATATTCACAAAAAGCATCACCTACAACATTCAGTAGCTTCCTTTCTAGAGATGCCTTAGAGCAGGGGTGTTAAAGTGCCGGCCCGCAGGCCAGTTGCATCATGCAGAGGCCACGCCCACCCCAGCTCTGGCAATGCAAAAAAAGTTGCGATACGTCACAACACATCATGTGACGCAGCGAGTTGGACACCCGTGCCTTAGAGAGGTTCAGCAAAGGAGGTAGAAAGGGCACATCAGATGAATTAGACTGCTTTCTGCTGAAGGCATGGAGTGGGGAAACACACATTTATTTAATTTTTAAATGTTACTTATTTAAATAATTTGCATGGCTATCCAACCTGAACAATGTGACTTTAGGCCAGGGGTCTTCAAACTTGGCCCTTTTATGACTTGTGGACTTCAACACCCAGAATTCTTCAGCCAGGCAGGCTGGATGAGGAATTCTGGGAGTTGAAGTCTACAAGTCATAAAAGGGCCAAGTTTGAAGACCTCTGCTTTAGGCAGCTTACAGAAACATCCAAACCAAAAACAATATGTCTGATAAAGTCATTAACAGGCAATTTAGCTCACATTCAGACCCTCTCCTGTTGGGTACTACTCCTTCCAACCCCCAAACTCAAAAGGGAACACATGAAGGGCATGAATAGGCTATCACCGCAGTGTAGGATATTCATGAAAGATCCTAAAATTGAACTGAAGTGAGAGGGACAATTACAAATTAATAGACGGAGAATTTCTTCTCTATGTACCCATCCATATCTTGAGCTGAAATAACTGGAGTTAAATCCATTCAGTCTCAAGTGAAATCAAGCAGGATGAATTTCCCTTTGACCTGTTTCAAAGCTTTTTATATTTAAAACAATGCATGCAATTTAATAAACTTGTTTTTAATAATCCAAATAAAATTTACTGAAATTCATTTCTCTCAAAAGTTTCACAGAGGGAATTTTTTTGTAAAATTAAGGTGTTTGTAGAAATCTATTTTAAAAATGAGTTCAGTTGAAGTATTTTGATTCCTCTTTGGTTCTTCAGCAAGAGCATATCGGCTTGAATATATTATGTAAGTAACTTCAAATTAGCTGAATTTATTTTAAGCATTTCTTTTTCTGTGTTAGAGTCCCTGCCAAAAAACACCCCACTATAAAGTCTATTACTTTTCAATGACTAGCATTTGATGGCATGCATCTGAATTAGGTAAAAAGAGAGAGAGAGAGAGAGAGAGCAAAATAAAGTTTTCAAAGTTTTGCTACCTCTTCACTCAAAATTGCAAGTGCACAAAGAATTATGGAAGGCTTGGTTGATAGAAGAAAAAAACACATTCAAAACTACTTACTGACTAATGATGCAGAAAATGTTATGAAGAACTATCCTTTTCTTGATTTATTACTTTAATTATCTGACATTCTATAGACCCCCATTAGTAGGATGATTTTTTTTTTTGGTTTAGATTTCAATTTTCTGTCTCATGGTGAAAGCTATTTATCATAATAATCAGTAAAATTCAAAACCTTTTAGCAGTATTTATAAAATTCATTTACCATGTTCAGCCCTTGGAGAATGATAAAGAAGGTGCATTAGTACGTGTGCTGAACTGTTTTATGCAGAATTTTCTGGCCATAAGAGTGATTAAAAGTTCCTTAGAATGAATACATACACACCACATACACGCACAATTTCCATTACCTATGCTATGACTTGAGGCTGGGACTTGCTGGTTAGGTGGTTGCTGCACCTTTGTCCGAATAATCCTGCATAATAGACAAATTCCTACTTACAATTATATAAATAACAACAGAGAACAAATTATTTATGCAACATAATTAACAATCATGAATGTCCAAGCAAATTATTCCAGTTCATTACTATGGTATATCTGAAAATTTTTGCTGAAAGAGAGTAAAAAAAAGAGATGATATTCACAAAATTAATCTTGTATTGAACACATTCTCAGAAAGATGTCAACATTCAGAAAGGTTTGGACAGTCAGAATAATGTACGTATTATTACCCCATCAAGAGGGGCTGAAAAAGTGACAATTTAGTAAGTGGAGCAACATCAAATAAAGCAGGGGTCTTCAAACTTGGCCCTTTTATGACTTGTGGACTTCAACTCCCAGAATTCCGCAGCCAGCCATGCTGGCTGAGGAATTCTGGGAGCTGAAGTCCACAAGTCATAAAAGGGCCAAGTTTGAAGACCCCTGAAATAAATTATAAACAATAATTTGATTTCAACAACCAATACCTCCATTCCCGCAAATGTTCTCCCCCCCCACCCTTGATCCAAAAAAGAAAGCTGTATTTAAATCCCATAGATATTAATCAGATTTCAACTAATTATTATTACCACTAATAATCACCATGCCTTTGGCTTCATGAAACTTAATTATGACTAATTTTATCAAGACTAAGGCAACTGAAATTATTGAATTAGATTTATTAATCTAAAATTAAGACAAAGGAAGCAGGGCCATCCATAGAGAAGGGGTCAAAATCTGCAAGATGACAGGTCCACTGTGATCCAAGTACAGTCCCTTTTGTCCATGGGTGTGCAACATTGCTACAATTGTCACCTTGCAGATTTTGAGCAGCCCTGCAGATATTGGTGAAGGGAACCCTTATTATCATTAACCAGGTACTTGGTTTTGATTTCCTTGCTTCTGGCCGCATTGACTGATCACAAAAATGCCCCAAACATTAACATTATTTCAGATAAAGATTTTTATGCCATTTATTTAAACCTAGTCCTAGACTATTCCTACATTCAACAAATGTATGTTAACCAGCACAAACTATAACTTGACTTATTGACACATTTGCAACAATAAATATACATTTTTTAAATAAAAAAAGTATTGGTTTAATGTATATTTGGATGGGGAAAATACTATTGTGGAATAAATCAGGACATCTACTCTAGGACATCTACAGAGTAAGTAGATGTAGTAAGAAGAGCTAAAACAAGAGATCTACAGTATACGTAAATGGTGAGCTTGTCACTGATTTCAATAAGAACAAACTGATATACTAATATTGACTACCTGAAGTGTTGCCTTCCCAGGTATGAACTTACCCAGTTATCTAGATCAGAAGAAGGCCTGAAGAAGTTGCCATTGCTGCCAGAACTTCCCATAAAAGAAAAGAGCCTTTTCCATTATGCAGCTTCTAATTTAGGGAAGTGCATTTTACCACCCCTTCCACCATCCTAGTTGCTAACTGATTGTAATTTTATTGTCTCTAAGGTTGCCGTTTTTATAAGCTGACTCAAGTGTTTATATAAGCAGATAGCCATAATACAAATTCAATGTCTTAAATCAGTGGTGGCGAACCTATGGCCCGGGTGCCAGAGGCGGCACTCAGAGCCCTCTCTGTGGGCACGCACACCGTCACCCCAGTCCTAGGCCTTCAGCTAGGTTTTATAAAACCTTTTCGCTTTAGGCCTCCGCCGCCGTGTGCAAAAAAAAAAAAAAAGGTTCAATCAGTCAATTTCAACTTCTCTCGGGAAAAAAAAAGATCTTGCAAAGTTGGAATTGATTGATTGAACTTTTTAGTCCCACCCAGTCTGCCATTACCACCGCAGCCACGCCCACCCAATGGGCCACACCCACCCGGCACTCGACGATGCATAAGTGGGTTTTGGGTTGCAGTTTGGGCACTCGGTCTCTAAAAGGTTTGCCATCACTGTCTTAAATGAATAATGTCGTCACTCTCCTAACCTTCTATTAATTGCCATAATTCTATACATTCTATACAATTCTATTCTATAGTATACTATTTTATTCTACACATCCATGCATATAATATGTATGTGCTCCAGTTTAATGTATTCTCATTTGTTAGTTTTTTAGACTTAGAATATTCAAAAATATAATCCCCTTTTTATATACAACCCAGAAAACAGCCAAAGAAATGTTAGGCTGATCCTGTAACTCAATTTGAAATTTTAACTGGAAACAGTTTACAGTACAGTATGTCTAAGCTTTCATCCTGAAATAGATGATGGGATGATAGGATGATAATCACGAGGATCATGAGGATATCAATATTTTTAATAAAGTAACTGAAAAATTATTACGACAAATTATCTACTTTCCCAAGTTTGCACGATTCCCCAGTCTATGAACAACAATGATTATGTGGTTTTTTTTAGCAGAGGACCCACATACGTTTATTTTCCCAAATATATAGTTTAAAGCTATATATTTAAAACAAAATCTAGAAGCAAGTTTTTCATTTAGCGTTATGCAGTAATTGTTTGCCAAGCAAACTATTCTTGAAAAGGCTCATGGATGGTGAATTCATGCTTAGTAGTTTTAACACCTTATGGAAAAAAACAGTGGGGAATTAAGTCACAAACTAAGTCATGATTTAACTTGTTAAAATCCCTCAAACTTTTCTTAACCTGTAATAAGGATAATATAGAACAATGTCACAATAAGTAAGTCTATAATAAACCTACAAAAATGGATCTTTTTAATAGTGCTAAGTTTGGGTAAAGAAGAATACTGTATTTGAGGGGTCCTCTGTGCTCTCTGAGTTTGGTTGTTTTCTTGAAGACATGTCATTATATCATCAGTGTATCATTAGCACTGATGATGTTACCTAATTTGGGTAATGAAAACAAGAAAACAACCAAGCTCAGAAAGCACCAAGGACCCTTCGGTGTTCAATTTCTTTATTGAAAGTTTAACACTACACAGCTTTTTACAGACTACCTCACATTCACAAGCATACTTGGACACCATCCTAATTTCAAAGCATCCAGTTCTCCAATTCTTACGATTTCAAAAAACAACAACAATCATTCCACTAAATGACCTTATGGATATTCAGATATATAGGCAATTTCTGGTGAATGTTCAAAGGTACATAAGATGAACTCACATAGAGTGAGAAATGACTGGATAAATAAGCTCTGTGATCTTGCATAAGTCATTGATAACTCTCTGCCCACTCTCTTGCCAATCTACACATCCATGCCCAGATGAGGGTAAAAACAGAACAAAAAACAATAAAGGCACTAAAGCTAGAGGACAGCCATTTCATGCCCGGTTTCCAGACTTCAATTTCCAACCACAATGTCCAGCTCCACAAAGCCCATTGGTCCAAAACCAAACAACAATATTATTGTTCAGATGGTATATGAATTGTCTGTGACCTTTGTCCATTTATTTATGTCCCTCCACTTATCAAGTCAGAACTATAAAACATTCATTCACTAGAGGTGATTTCAAGATTAGTTGCCATCCAGAAAACATTTCTTTTCCTTTCTTCACTAAACCAAGAATATAAGCAATAGATGATCTGTGCCTGCAATGTGTTTTATCAAAACAACTGGAATAAAATCAGGACCCTGCTGTGAATACACAACCCAGAGGAAAGAACTGAAAAGCTGATCAACTTACTTACAACACTATGATTCCAGGTATATGACTCAGACGATGCCATTGATTTTATTGGGTTTTAACTGCCACACGATATATGAAATCAATATTAAGATTAGCTACTCATGAACACAGTTATCTTTAATTAGAGCAGGGGTGTCAAACTGCCAGCCCATGGGCCGGTTGCATTATATGGAGAATGCGCCCACCCCAGCTCCAGCAATGAAAAAAACGTCACGATACGTCACGACACATCACGTGACGTGGCGAGTTTGACACCTATGAATTAGGTGGGCCTGAAAGTTCCTATGAGCTATGGAAATTCTCTTCCTCCCATCTGGCCTTAAAGAACCCTTTCCTTGCTGTTCTGACTGATCCCTCACCTCTTTAGAGCAGATCTGTGGGAGGGAAAGCATTACAGAAAAATAATTGGTGGAAATCACTTTCCTTCCTTTGATACTTCATCAGCAGTATTTCTCGTATACCTGGTTCCCAGACACTGATATTTAAAGATATATTATCCAACTGTATACAGTATTTACACTATATAATTTGCAAACATGGGTGTGATGCCGTTTGTTCCTGGTACCTAATTCTGGATGGGATTGCACTGTCCCAGATGGACCCGGTACTCAAAAAGCAGGTGGCAGTCATGGCCAGTAGAGCCTTTGTGCAACTTCATCTTATGTACCAGTTCCTTCTTTCCAGAATCAGGAATTCCTGCCCTACATCACTCAAATCCTGATCATCTCATACTTGGACTATTGCAATGCATTCTACAAGGGGCTACATTTGAAGAGTATTTGGAAGCTACAACGGGTGCAGAATGAAGCCACACAGGCATTTCTTGGGTCCCCTAGGGCAGAGCTCCCCAACTTTTCTGGATTGGCTGCCCGGAGGGGAAAGGATGAGCAGGGAAATGTGTGCACACATGCCCCGCGTGCGCATGCACAAACGGGCTGCTAGCACCTGCACGGCAGCGCTAATGCAAGTGGGGGGAGGCACACCAGCCATTCCTGTGGCCCGGTGGCCAGTACCAGGCTGTGGCCTATAGGTTGGGGACCCGTGCCCTAGGGTGGCCCATGTTACATCGCTCTTGTGTGAACTGCACTGGTTGCCAGTTTGCTTCCAGGTCCAATTCAAGGTGTTGATTCTTACCTTTATAGTGTTTCATGGCATGGGTCCTGGTTATCTGATGTGCCATCTCACCCCCTGTGGGACTGGCCTGCCCCATCCGGGCCAGCAGAAGGGTCATGCTGCAGATTCCATCAGTCAAGGAATTTTGGTGGGCAGGTCCAGGAACAGTTTTTCCGCTGTGGCTCCCGCCCTCTGGAACATCATGTCCCCTGAGGTAAGATCCACAGCTTT